CCTAAATGGCGTTCTTAAAGTGGTGTTCCAGTCTTGGGTTGGGGGGTCAGGATGAACCTGTTGCAAGGGCATCCCTTACCTGCAGTCTTTTCTGGTTTAATATTGACTATGCCCAAAACATGATCATCATGTCAAAAGTTCTAGGGTTAATGCAACCATGTAGAAGGTAATGCTGTGCCATTTGATAGAACAATGAATCTTAAGGAGCTTAAGGAGGAGAGCAGATGGCAGCTTTCAAATGCCACTGAAGCTTGTAATTGTTCCACTATACTTGATTCTAATATTTAGAACTATAGTCCACGGGTACAGGAGATGGGGAATACCTTTTTTCTTTATATATTTAAGAAATTGGTACATGCAATATCTGTGACTTTTAAGTTCCTGGCTGACAGCATTTATAGTCTGTCAGCATTTTTTGTGTCATAACTCCCATTTCAAAAGATAGAAAGACTATCTGATAATATTATGGACAAGAGGATACAGTGTCAAGTCACATCTGATAGGTCTTCTGCTCCAGTATGATTTGCTATTCTATGAAGGTTTGGAAGAAATTTAAAAGAAGACAGCTGAGTACAAATCAATATTTTCTTGACAGCCCAAGTCCTCTTCCTCTCTTTCCAATTTACATCTGTCCTCCAGAGATGACAAATCACAGTATAGTCACCAGAGGCTTTCCAGCTTCTAAATTACAGTATCTTTTTTCTAATTTCACAGACAAAAATTGATTTAATCAGTCTTCACCTATTACCTATAGGTGTTTGCTAGGTAAGGCATAAGCATAAGTTAAGGCAATAAAGCATGAGCCTACAGGGCTGTATCCAGTCAGACAGTAGTTTTCAACCTTTTAAAATTTGTGCACCCCTACAAAATATCAAATGAAGGTGCAGACCCTTTTGGAAATCTTAAACATCATCTGTGGACCCCAAGGGTCTGCGGACCGCAGGTTGAAATCCACTGCTGTTAGACATTTAAGCAGTTAGCATAAGGCTTTGAGGCCTGTGAACTTTGGTGTGGGACCAAATAAGTGAATAGACAGATTTGGAGAGATTCTAAATTACTGTGGCCTATTGGTGGCTAAAACAGGAATATGAAATCAGCTCCCCTCTCACCTCAAGGGTGCTACTTCTGTTTTTTAAAGATTTGTACTTTACAATTTTTATTTGTCCTGCCAAATTCCTGCCTAAATGGCGTTCTTAAAGTGGTGTTCCAGTCTGCTACTTATTCAACTTTAGGTACCTTTAATATTACAAACAGTTCAATTTACAAAGCCCCCTTAACACTTGTTAAATTTTAAATGGCACAGAATCATCCTCTTGTGAGATTCTGAACACAAATGACTAGTCAATAACACCAAATGAGAATGCAATCAGGGTGTAATGAGGCTGATGTCTCACATCACCCCACTCGCATCCTCACACAGTTAAAATGATCATGGAGACTTAGTGGTGGGAGACAGGTTGCTATCTGTGAGGGTCCTACCCTGCCTCTGGCATGCCATGTGAATCTGATGGTCAAGGACTTAAATACCCCTGCTTGAGGGGTGTGTGCATGCACGTGCGTGTGTGTGCACTAGTTACTGTTCCTCCAAGGAGGACAATACTCCTTCTGTTGCAGAGTTGGTCAGCTAAGTACAAGTAGATGTAGTAGAGGCAGAGAAACAGAAAAGAAGAATAACAGCAGAGGAAAAGAGGAAGTCCTGTAGTCTGAAAACATATAGTGTTTGTGACAGGCACGGCATTCTAATTGAGAGATTAATTTGGATTTCAATTTATATTTTTATTGCAGGTGAGTTACCTGTTGCCCAGATTTAAGCTACAGGGGTTGCCATTGTGGACCCTTCCCTGGTTGGTCACCAAACCTGTTGCTTGATCTATGGATTTTGAGTGTTGCAACCTGGCAAGTTGGGGTTCCCAACTGAACAGTAATTTTAATAATACTGGGCCTGATCTTGGGACGAGAACCTATCAAACCTCAGAGTGTTAACTGGGAATTCTTAAGTAATCAATATGAGTACTAAATACACTTGGTTTGACTTTGGACTTGCAAATCCTCTCTATACTTGAGTAGGGGTAAGATTAACTTTTTTTTCTTCTTATCAGCCTTGGCCCTGTTTTGGGTTCCTTATGATTGTTCAGCTGTACTATGAAATTTATTTTTCTCTCTAGGTCAATCCTTTGAGAAGCTTAAAACTCTCCATAAAACAACTTTGTTGGAGAATTGATCATGCAAGAAAAGTTCTTTCAGCTTCAAGGGCCAGATCTATATTATGTTGTGGACTAGACCAGAGCTTGGAGCCTGATGGTTTCTTGTATGGATACTGTCCCCTAGCTCAGGTTTTTATCTGGAAGACTTATAAAGCCTCAGTTTGAGCCAGTGGACTCAAAGTACACAGGACCAGTATCTTCATTGTCAGGATAGCTTCAGTCTGTGGTGGTTGAGTCACAAGATTGTGTATTCCTGTGAGCTGCGTCAACAAAGAAAGGGTCAAACTGAACAGTTTTGTGTGATAAAGTGCCTCCTTGCTCAGTATCCTAACAATACAAGGAGTCTTGAAGGCTATAATCTCTCTTCGGAGTCTAGGGGATCAGGATGGAGGCTCTCATTTTAGTAAGAAGCAGGAAATAGAAAGCAGGTACACATCATATTTGACATTGTAGTGGTGATGTGAAGTATCAAAAACATAAGACTTGGAAGCACCAAGTTTCACTCATCAAAATTATGAGCCAGCAGATGCTGATAGTTCTTCAGTTTGATTTGAATGGCTTCTTAATAGACCACATAGCAGCTCACCACAATATTAAGGCTGATTTGATGTAGCCAAGTCTTGGAAAATATGACTTCCATGGTGAGATGTTCATGAAACATTATGAAAGGCAGGAGAAGTCCAGAAGTAGATCTGTGTCTTTTAGCAAGAATCACAAGCTACCTTTAGCAAATACAGAGACTTGCACAATTTTTTCCCCAATGGCCTAGACAAGAACCTAGAAGCTGTAGTTGATACATCAGAGGAAGAATTTTGGAAACTCATGCTGATAAGTAAAAAGAAAAGGAGTACTTGTGGCACCTTAGAGACTAACCAATTTATTTGAGCATAAGCTTTTGTGAGCTACAGCTCACTTCATCGGATGAAGTCTCTAGTCTCTTAGTCTCTAATGTGCCACAAGTACTCCTTTTCTTTTTGCGAATACAGCCTAACACAGCTGTTACTCTGAATGCTGATAAGTGGCAGTCAAAGTTCTAAGTGCTCAGGTTTTCTGCTGGTTGAGCTGGAAACTTGCATAGATCCTTTGTGCATCAATGGAAGATCAGTTTAAAATTCTTAGGTTGTCTTTTTGCATCTTTTTTTCCCAAAGGTTCCTTTTAGTGGCTATTTGTTAGGCAGAAAGGACAAGTAAGAATTTCTTTGGTGAAGCCATTTTTCTAGTTTCACATAGACAAAATACTGTAGAATTATCCTTAATTTTCACTTTGATTGATAGGTCCATCAGCCCTCACGTCATTTGTGTTGTTCTAGCCAGTCCTTCGGCCACCCGCTGGCCAAGCTGTCAGTGACACCGGACACCTGATTTGTCTCGTGCACCGCAGCCCAGAACCCCTGAGCCATCCGCCAGCCTCAGTGCCACCATTCCCGACATATTCTTAATTTTTTTTTTAAATCAATTTTGAATTTGTCTAGGGTCACAAGGTTATTTTATGGGTCTTTATGTCAAATCTTTGATCCTAACAACATTATTTAATATTTTGTTGATGTCTAAGGGTCTGTCAAAATGTACCTGGAGGACTATTTAGGCAGCATAGAGCGGGAAAGAAAAGTATATTACAATATCTATAAAGTCAACAACAAGGCTTGACCAGGTTTCATTAGAATTGTTCTATAAAGGCATTTGGAATGTCTTGAGTCTTTGATAGGATGCTTCGATGCGATACATTTATTAAAACGCTATACAGAGTTCTGTTCATTCCTCCACTGACTCTTTGTGTCTAGAAGTCTGGTCTTCTGCAGAAGTAACTTCATGCGGATGAGTTCTCCAGGTACTGCTTCAGAGATTTTCGCTTTACCTTTGTTGCATTGCTTCTTAGTTAAGGCAGTCCTAGATTGATAACAGCCAACTTTATAGAATGAACAATTTTTTGTTACTTAAAATATTTTGATGACATTTGTAAATTGGATTTTATCAGTCCAGAATCCTACATTTTCTCTTGATTCTGCTGTCTTTTTTTTTTTCCTTGTATTTAATTTTACAGTTATGTGGTTTCACAAGTGAGTGATTACTGTAGTGGAATTTCTTATACTGAGAGAGATGACACTGTGATCTTGAGCAATCTTTTTGGTTTTCTTTCTTCATCTGCTGGCAGAAACACTCAATCCAACATCCCCAGAAGAGTGCAGTCTAATTTAAAGAAATAATATTTGAAAGTAGGAAAAATTCCTGATTACCTGGCATGGCATGTAATTCTAAACGTCACATTTCTTTACTCCATTATTAGGGTTCTGGAAAACAGTTGTAAATTTCTTCTCTATTTTTCATGCAGAAGTTAAGGGACTAGCTTTTCAAAAGTGCTCAGCTCAGCCTCCAAATTAGGCACTTACATTGAAATGGCCAGATTTTCAGAAGAGATCAGCACCCAGCAGCTCCCATTGTTCATGTTAATTAGGTGACATGAAAGCTGACAAGTTTTGAAAATCTGAACACTTCATTTGGGTACCTAAATCAGAGAGGCTGGTAATGATTTTTGAAAAACTGGCCCTAAACTTCCAACTCACAATTACTTGAAATAAAGAGAAGTTATCTTATTTTTTGTTATAATTTCATATTTTAACTTTCCAGTGTGCTTTCTTTCCCCGTTTGGTGTAATGTGAGGTGAACACTTTTAAATACAATGCACAGGGCACATTTATAAAATAAAAGAACACCAGTCTGTACCTCAGCATTGACATAGTCTAATTTAAGTGTTATGCTCAAGAACTAATTTTAATTTTAAGTGTTTTTTTCTTTTAGCATTGCAACATACTTTCGAGAATGTTAAACACATAAAGGTAACTCTAATTTTGGGATTTTGAAAATAAATATATTTATTTATTTCTGGTTTTGCCCACAATGTGCTAGGGTCCTTTCAAACAGAAAAGAAGTAATTGTCCCTGCCCCAAGAAGATATGCCTAACAACATTTCAGTATAATTTGGGTTTATCAGTCTTCTCATTTCTTATTTCTCCAAAATAAAAACAAAGGAAAATACTTTACTTGTTAATTACTACTTTTCACTATTACAATGTATACGATAAGTCTAATTCTGTTGCTAAGAGATTTTTCCATTGACTTCTGTGGGAACAGGATCAAGTCCTACATTGGGAGAGATTGAGAAGAAAGGAAAATTTGACATGTTCTATGACAGAATAGTCAATTAATTAATTAGGTCCCGGTCCTGCAAAGATTTAGACACCTGTTTAACTTTAATCTTTTCAGGATCAGGACCTTAGTAAAGATGCTTATTCTTTCTACTAAGCAGGGTAAGTGTTTTTACTAAGTGACACTTTTTTTAGGTTATTCTAGAATGTGTGCTGATTTTTGTTTCTTTGTTGTTAGTGCTTTCATTTCTATTTTAAAAGAAACTTTGGTGCCTTGTGGGAAAAACTGGAAAATATTGTATTTAGGAACAGTTCTGTTCATATATAATTTTCTGATTTTCACTTTATTCTTTATTAAAAAAAACAGCACCAGTATTTTCTTTCTCTCTCTCTCTCTCTCTCTCATCCCAATCCTTAGCACACTTGACTTTGCTTAGATTGTGAGCTCTGTGGATATTGCAGATTAGAGTGGTCCATCTGCAAGTCACAGATGATATAGATGCAGAATCACTTCCAAATAGAATATTTTCAGACTTTTTCATGTGGCCCCACAGCTCTTCAAATACATTTCTGATATGCCTTAACTTCATGCCTTTTTGCTGTAGGCATAAGTTGTAAACAACATTGACTATTTCAGCATATTAGAGTAAGTTTGAGGCAGAGAAATTTGCTGCTGAAATAAATAATGAACAGTTTCAGAGTATGGAGAACAAATTTTCAAAGAGGTCTCATCCCAATCGCTAAATGTATGTCTTCAATTGAACTTCTGCATACATTTATTAATACCTAAATTTTTGCATGGAAAAAATTCAAATTTATATGTGCAAATTGCATTTGTCACTAAAATAACATTGTTAGTGCAAAGCTACCTAGCTTGCATGTGGAAAAGTTGCATGCGTTTGAATTTTTTCACATGGAAAAACTTGAATGTGAACAAATGCATAAGCAAGTTTAGATAGATGTTAACCTGCTGGTGTATTGTGACCATTGCCTATCATACTGACCAATACTATCTCATTTTTCCTTGTAATCTGGCTGTCTATATCCATCTGTTGTCTCTTGTCTTATAGTTGAGTGTAAGCTCTTTGGGGGAAGGGACCATCTTTTTGTTTGATGTTTGTACAGTGTCTAGCATAAAAGTGTCTTGGCCCTTGAATAGAGTTTCTAGGTGCTATAGTAATACAAATAAATAATAATATAATAAATTAAAAATAGAGGCCACATATAAAAACAAGGCCCTACATAGCTCTGCAGTAAATTCTTTTATCGCTAGATTTGGTGTTTCTCTAGGAGTAAACTAGCACCAAGAAATGGATTTTGAGTTCTGAATATTTGAGTTCACAAAAGTTTGGTCATCAATTAAACCCATATCAGGCCTCTGACATCAGTCAGACGGTAAGGTGGAAAAATTTAAGCAGACATTGAAAATACGGTTGTGAATGTTTTGGAGCACCGTCACAGAGGCTGAGTTATGCACCTACCATTTTTACTGAAAGCAAAGAAAACTGCTATGAATTACTCAGCAAAATGCACTTGTCATGTTTGGACATCAGCAGACTATTCCAAATATGGTTGGGGTTCAAAAGGAAAAGTGAGTAGAAATTAATCATTTAGATTATGCAGAAGAAATAAATACAAACTTTGTCCCTGTGTGTCGGAAGTGTTAGGGGCAGTGAAATAGTTTAGTAGGGAGAACTGATATGGTTCTTCAGTTCATCAGGCAAAGAAAGCTCAGGAAGAAGCTTATAGAGTTTTATAATGGATCAAATATATGTAGTGTCACTGATTGATTGAATCTTTGAACACTTGTACCAAATTTACTGTGGTACATAAAGACAATGTTTAAATACAGGAAAAGGAAAGTCATCCAATAGAAATTATAGATGCTAAAACATCCAAAAAACACAAGAATGGAATAACAATAAACTTTATTTGGTATGGGGTTTTCATACAAATGTGTCTGAAAAGGCATTGTGGAATTAATATAACTACAGAGTGAAATAGATAATAAACAAGACAGTTACAGAATTACAAAATACACTTCTAGTTTATCCTTCCTTGACAAGACAGGAACACAACATCTTTCTTCCAAAATTTCATGTACTTTTCAAAGACATATCCAACTCCCAGTCTCCCTTCCTAATGTATTTCTCTCATGCTGCACATACTGGAAGATTTAATATCATTTTAACCCTTTTCTGTTCACAGTAGTTGAAACTGCCAACGGGTGCAGGCAGTCCAACACATTTACCCTTGTGTTTAGATTATTATAGGCAGAGCTGAAAGATGCTTGTGGTTAAGATTGCCTCACACTATCTATTATAAGCTCCTGATATCAGGTACTCATAATTTTGACAAATTTGAAGTTTAGCCTGAAATTTTCAGTGCTAGGTGTTTTCCCCAGTCTCCGTGTTTTTGAAAGTTTCAGCAAAAACAGTTCATCTGTTTTCAAGAAAGTGGTCAGGGGAAATATATGTTGTTTGCCAATGTTAACAAATTCTTACAACTATTTCATTGAAAAGTTTTAGCGTCACCGTGTTTTGGATCACAGACTTGAAATTTGCAAGGGGATCCTCCTGGGGTCAGAGAGATGCCTTTTGCTGCCTCTGTGAAAATTCACTCAAATTTGGATGAATTATAAGCAATATTACCAACCTCAAGCATTCAAAAAGCACCAAAAATCACAAGTCTGGCTTAAAAATCGTGAGTTTTTTAAAAATAAAAAATTTGGATTTCTTTTTATTGGCTTTTATGCCATTGGGGTTCACATTTCAAGCTTTTCTCTGCAACCATATGGGGGCTTTTCTGGAAGATATCTGCCTCATGTATTTAAAGTCATTAGTTGTATAAATTGGAAGGTATGCAGTGAATCAGACAGGGGACTGCGTGAAGATAAAGGATTGTCTCATGGTTAAGGCAGGTGATTACCATTCTGGATTATATCTCAGCCTCCATCACCGAATTTCTATGTGAGACCAGAAAAAGTCACTTAAACCAAAATTTTTAAAGATGGCCCTTAGGTGTTCCCCATTTTCTGGGTGTCCAATATGAGATGCAGGGGTTGAATTTGCGGAAGTGCTGAGCACTCATACCTGCAACTGAAGTCAGTGGGTGCTGTGCTTTGAACATATAATGTGCTCTAAAAATGCTTAGTGCGCTGAAAAATTAGGCTCTAGGTACATTGAGGGGGACACCCAAAATTAATGGACACTTTTGACAATAGCTCTGAACCTCAGTTTCCCATCTGTGAAATGGGAATAATAATATCACTTCACTTCAAAGGGCATTGTGAAGATAAATTCATTAATGTTTTTGAAGCGCTAAGACGCTTCAGTGATGAATGCCATAGAAAAGCCCATGTAAGAAAATAAATAGTTCTGTATTTAGTACAGGGCTTAAATGGCATGCAGTAAACAATGAATGGGGTCGCACGTTGAATGATGAGGATAAAAATAAATACTGAATAGCTACGTATTCAGTACTTGATCCTGCACCACAAAAGTCAATAGGAATCTGAACTCTCATTTCAGTAGTAGCAGAATCAAGCTATGAATAAGCACCATCCATCCTGTGCTCTCAGTAAGGCAGGGGCCCTATGAAAAAAATAGCATGTGGTCATATAATTAAAGACTACACAAGGGGGCAAATTAAAGTTGCATAGGCAGTCTTAATTCTGGCACTTCCTAATTTTTGAGTGCTTAATTTCCAACCTTGGGATTCTTTTTTTGTGCATAAAGTACACACACTACTATGCAAATAATGGAAAATGTGGTTTAAGATCGCAAAATGTTAAGTATACAGTTCTGAGGATGTTCCCAGATGTCAGGTTCCCAGGCAGAACCACCACGGTATTTCCAGTTTTAACATTTTAGCGAGCTGTGACGTTGCCAAAGACATATATTGACCTTATATAGCGGGAGTAGAAGGGAGGCAAAGTTATGATTGTGTATGGTACCACAAATATCTGAGATCTATGTTCTCTGTTGTTTGGAATCTCTCTTTTTCTCTCTCTTTTTTTGGTAACCTTAACTTTTAATTTGTTTGCTTCGTTTGTTTTGTTTGGTTTCAGCTATAATGTTCTGATTAGGTCATATTATTTTGTCTGGAAATCTGCCTTAATTATTGCCCCAAAATAATGTGGACTAATAAGAAGAAAAATTTTGTTATAATGACAGTCACATTGCAATTACAGTTATTTTTGTGCTTAACAGATCAGTGTGCATCCAACCTCATCTATCCAGGTTTCAAGCTTAGGAACAGACAACTTAACAATCTATGGTAAGAACTCCTCGCTCTCATTCACAACAATGTCTTTGCAGATCCTAACTGTAAAATTGTATCATTTAGATTTGCGGTGACAAGATCTGTTTCAAAGCAGCTAGCTCTTGGGGAGCTGTGCCCGTGCCCATATTTCAGCATTCTAGAACTAAGAGTAGAAAAATCCCCAACTTGCAGGCTTGCAAAAAAGAAACTCCATGCAAATATCCTACATAATTCATTTAATAAGGCAGGGTTACATTAAAAATGTCAAAAATCATAGATTTTCTATAAATATGAAAATCATAAAGTTATGGCAAAAGTCCAGATATAGCTGGAATTTGTTTTACTCATGATATAGGTGAAAGTATATTAGGCAAATGTGCACCTGCAATTTTTATGAGTGCACTTTATAATTATTCGATAATCTTTTATAGAATCTCGTACAACCCCTTTTGGGTCAGAAGAGAAGAAGGAAGAGAAAACCCTGAGGAGCCTCGTGGAGATTCTGCAGGATATGATGCAAGATGTTCCTACACAACGCACACCAACTGAACGAACCATCGTTACATCCAAAATAGTGAAATCGTATGTTGGTGAAAGTATTGGCTCTCTTTGGTTAAATGTGGGCCAGAAACATGGTGGAAAGCCACAGAAGTCAAAGGAAAAGGCTGCTGTTACAAGAAAATTTACCACATCTACAGCAACCCCATTTTGGAGACTGCGAACTGGCACTGAAGTTTCTGTTATTTTACATTCTAATGAGTCTTCTCACTCAACAACACCACTGAAAAAAATATTTATTACATTTAAAAATGTTATTTCAAAAAGAAAAAGTAAGACTTTTGATCAGTTAACAAATGGATCCCTGGAAAATCTAGTTCAGTCTTTAAAGAATGTAAAAAACCTCAAACAGAAAACTCTAACAGAAACAGAAACCATCACCAAAGAAGCAGAAAACGTGAAACATGTTGCAAAGGTGAAAAAGATACATGTATATGACAAAGTGAAACATCGACCTGCCGGTGAAGCAATCTTGGAAAAGATTGAAAAGCTAAAAAAATGGTTACAGAAGCCACCCGATTATGTTAAACAAAATCCACACCTCAAAGAGTATGTTGAGTCATCTGAAAACTATATAACGAAATCTCTTATGCTGGAAAAAGAAGCAGAGGCTTCACTAGGTCAGCTGTATCACCAACCTAAACCTTCACCTCCGAAAGAAAAGGTAGAACAGAACACAGAAGTAGAAGAACAGGACACAGCAGAAATCAGAAAGTTAAGAGCATTTATTAACCTGCTGTATGATTTTAGTCCTCAGCTAACTACATATATTGATAGTTCTGACAAGAAATATGTCCCAGAGGATATTAGTGTAAAAGCCATTGCTGTTCTTGATGCTATGAAACATGTTTTCTGTGGAAGTCAGGCAGACCAAAACAAAAAAGTGTTGAAGAAGTTGCTAGAGGATGATATAAAGCTTTTAAACATAGTTCTTAAGAACCACGAATAGACTCTTAAAAATAGTTATTTATTGGTGCCCTTCATTGCATTTACTTAAATTTGAAAGATCAATTTTCTAGTTCGTCATTGTCCTCTAGACCTGGTCTTTGCTGTAACAATATTCATCTCAGTAATTAAACACCATTTTTAAAAAATTGTTCATTTTCAGTGTTTACCGTGATGGATTGTTGAGCTTGGATAAGCTTATTCTGTTGTTAAATTTGTGTTGGCATCTGAATGAATTATGCTTAGATATATTGTTTAAAATCATACAATTTCCTTTTGTAAGGGTTGTTCTGCAGTGCTGCTATAATACATACCAGTTAGTATAGAGGGCTGAAGTAAAGCTTTTAGTCTTTTAATGTTTATTTGTTAAAGTTATATAACATCAAAATAGATCTACACTCTTGGGCTAGGGGCTCTCAACAATAGGAATGCAGTACTCTGGTACTGGATAGTGGTTCCTGTAGCTACCAAATGAATGTCAAGGAACAACCCTTGGCTCCCTTGTTCACAAGTAGAGAAGGCGCTAACTGCAGTCAAACTACCATGGTTCTGATACATCAGGAAGGAAGTGGGTTGCAAAGGGGGCCTCTTGGACTACTCCATAAGAACTTGAGAACGGCCATACTGGGTCAGACCAATGGTCCATCTATCCCAGTGTCCTGTCTTCCGACAGTGGCCAAAGCCAGGTGCTTCTGAGGGAATGAACAAAACAAGTAATCATCAAGTGATCCGTGCCCTGTCACCCATTCCCTGCTTCTGGCAAACAGAAGCTAAGGACACCATCTCTGCCCTTCCTGACTAATAGCCATTGATGGACCTATCCTACATGAATTTATCTAATTCTTTTTTGAACCCTGTTAAGTGTCTTGGTTTTCACAACATCCTCTGGCAAGGCGTTACACAGGTTGACTGTCTGTTGTGTGAAGAAATATTTCCTTTGTTTGTTTTAAACCTGCTGCCTATTAATTTAATTTGGTGACCCCTAGTTCTTGTGTTACGAGAAGGAGTAAATAACACTTCCTTATTTACTTTCTCCACACCTTTCATGACTTTATAGACCTCTATCATATCCATACTTAGTTGTCTCTTTTCCAAGCTGAAAAGTCCCAGTCTTGTTAATCTTTCCTCATATGGAAGTTGTTCCATACCTCTAATCATTTTTGTTGCCCTTTTGTGTACCTTTTCCAATTCAAATATATCTTTTTTTGAGAGGGGGCAACCACATCTACACGCAGTATTCAAGATGTGGGGCGTACCGTGGATTTATATAGAGGTAATATGATATTTTCTAACTTATTATCTATCCTTTTCCTAATGATCACAACTTGCTGTTAGCTTTTTTAATTGCCGCTGCACATTGAGTGGATGGTTTCAGAGAACTATCCACAAGGACTCCAAAATCTCTTTCTTGAGTGGTAACAGCTAATTTAGACCCCATTGTTTTATATGTATATTTGGGATTATGTTTTCCAATGTGCATTACTTTGCATTTATCAACATTGAACCCTACTCATCATGGGAGCTCTCCTTTATGGGACCTCTTTCCCCATGGCTCAAAGGAAGGAAGCACAGGAGAGGTGCAAGTGTGGTCAGTGAATCTGTTACCACGTGGGGCTCTGGACAAAATGCAGACACAGACCCATTATATAGGGGAATTTCCTAGACTGTAGGAGCTGTGCTGGTATTCTGGGCTGGAAAAGGGATGATTTTTCCCTGTCCTCCAATGTCAGAGGATATTCCTAATTCAAAGCTTATTTATTCAAGTTTTGTATCCAACATTTGACCCCAAGTGAATTTTTTGTATGACAAGGCTGATATCTCTTGCCTTTGTTTGCTGGAGCCCAGGTTTTTCTTATGACTTAATTTTTTTTAAGGCTTTTGAGACTTATTTTGGAAAGTAAGCCATAATGAAACGAGGTTTCCTTGAACATTCTTGGTGGCTTCTTCCTGCCTTCCCCATATACCTCGTGGCCTTTGAAGAGGAGATAATCCAAATCAACCGTGTTTTCAGGTTGGGACAGGGCAGATGTCCGGACCTGCAACATGAATCAGTGATCAGAGAGATTTATCTCCTGAATTCTGCTGTATAGATGCTGCTTACAGAGCCATATTTTTGCTCACTAGGTCCCAAAAGGTCAATGAACTTTGAGATCTGGAGGATGAAAAGCCAAGCCTTGTGAAGTATTAACTAATCAAAGGCTCCAACCCTTTTTTCACTTTACTAAGGGGAGCTTGCTCTCTTCAGATATATATGTGCAAGTTGTTCTTAATCAATTCAAAATAATTTATATTTTCTGCTGCTTGTGCATAGGCACTTGCTGTTCTATATTGTTTCTGTTTTCTCAAGATTTCTTTTAAAATAACATGAGTTCTTAAAGACTTGTCAAATACTGTTGTTCCTACTTTTCTGTATATTTTTCATCTGTGCATGTTAAAAACTGATTGAAAATTGAAGCTTTAGAGTTTTTTTGGCATATTGTCCAGAACTTCATATTAAATCTCTTTGATCTTATAGATTTGTTGGTTCACTGTCTCTGATGTGAAGTTTCTTACAGCTTTTTCTAATAAATCTCGGATCATACCATGATAGTACTAATCTAACAGTCGGACTACTGCAACATGCTCATTATTGGTCTTTTAGTAGTATCCACTCAAATGATGAAAAATTTTAAATACACTTAACTTGAAAGTATATTTCTGGCTTTTAAACACATCCATTCATTCTGTTATTGATTTGGGATATTCATTTCAAATATCAAAGCTTTGCTATTTGGTGGTTTGTTTTTCCCTCTAAGAAACCGGAAACAAGAAGTTTGGCCAAATCAGCAGTTGGCTTGACTTATTGGCTGGGCAGGTAGTGTCTTCCTAAGTAAATGTTACAAAGAAATAGAAAAGTGGAAATGGAATGGAAAAGCAAAAGGCACCACAGAAGACAACAGAGTTTAAATCCTCACTGTCATATGACAGGGCTTTGTAAATGTTGACAATCTTAATATAGGAGAGAAAAATAAAGCCAGTAAGGTCAAAAGTTGCATTGTCATGGGAAAGTTCAGAAATAGAGATTACTTGACAGATCAGAAGTTTGTTGTCTAGCATGGACGTAAGAGCTTGTTGAACTGTTTTGTTACGACTAATTGTTATGATTTAGCTCCTTTTTCAGTTAGTGAATTATTCACATACCAAGCCTGGTTTATTTTTGTTGTTGTTGGTTTTGTTTTGTTTTTTTGAATGTACAGAATTTGTTGTTCATAAGTAGTCATTTGTAGACAGGATAAATAACTGTCAGCATGTGGTCTATTTACAGCATGTTCACACTGAGTGTTTGCTGTTCGGTATTCATAGGCTTGATTGTCTTTGTCTTATGGTGTTAATGCTGCTTCCTGATTGAATTATTGAAACTTTTTAGGCAGGAAATAATGAGTAGAGGATAACAAATACTGCACTTTCTACTACAGATTTTGGACAAATAATCACTTGTGATAAATTGTATGAACGCTTTTGGGTTTGTAAACATTTTCACGTGGCAGTTGCTGAATATGTGTGATTAAAGGAAAATGACTTCATAGCAAACTGAACTTATTTATGTTGTTCATGAAAATATGAATGAAATTAGTTCAACTGTTCAACCAGCCCTGATGTGGACTTGATCTTGCTCCCATTAAATTTAATTTTGCCTATTTTATTTAATCAAAATGATATAACTTTTTATAGGGGGTAAGGAATATTAAGAAAAACAAAAGATTCCTTCCAACCAATTTTAAATCAAAAGTTTGGAAAGTCAAAAATGATGATTCCTACAAGAACTGCCTCTTTGCCTCTTCCTTGTATAACTGTATAGGCTAGTACATTTATGCTTTGATATATATTTCTTAAACAAAAGCTTTTCATAGAAGGAATTAAGGTTTGTTGACTGTGACATCCCGCCAACTCAAATCTATGCCAGGGTATTGGACACTCTGTCACTGTACTCGAACTCGTGTTCAGAGAAAGCAACAGACTTCATCTTCATAAGGAACTTTTTTTGCCTGTAATAGATAAACAAACTTATTACAACACAAGAATACATAAATCTTCCTCACAGCATTGCACAAAATGTTGTTAACCACCTCAGCAACATTAGCAAATATTTAGGTTGAAAGATGTGCAGCAGTTAAGTGTGATGTGTTATGTTTGTGTGGGAAGCATGAGATGGGGGTGAGCATGAGCCTTGGAAGGGGTGTTTGTAGTGGCTTGGTAAATTATATTAATATATTCAAGAGAGCCGAGGTGCCATTCTAATACTCTAAATACCTTTAATGATGTACTCTTATTATCTTAACCTTTATATCCATTAGAGGCAAGGATTGGGCTTTGCTGACCTTTTTTTTTTTTTTAAAAGGTCACATTTGGGGAAATCATACATCTGTATTTCCTGCCAGGTTTTGTGCAATCCAAGATCAAAGATTTTGATTTATTGATTTATTGACTACAAGTTTATAGAAAGGTAGGACAGTAATTTCATGGGGCTGGCTTTTGAGGTTTTAAAATATTCTTTATTATTCCATGGCTTGAGCCTACAAAATGCTGAGCAGTCTGGCCCTGATCCAGCAAAGCACTTAAGCACAGGTTTAACTTTAAGCACTTTATTCCCTGAAGTTAAGCATGTGCTTAAATGCTTTGCTGGATCAAGGACTGAGTATTCAGCACCTTCCAGGATTGAGCTCCTGATGTCTGTGATCTCTTGTATAGGAATGTTGTATGTGGAATTTTCTAGGAGGGCCCCTTTTAATATTCAGTTTAAATGTGCTAACCATTTTTTCTGTCTAAAATTACCACCTATAAATACGTTTTAAAACCTCCCCTTTAATTTATAAAAACGTCAAAAAACAGATGAAAATATAAAATCAGTGTGAATAAGTACACATAATCCTCTCTTTAGCCATCATGTGCATCATCCCATAAAAAGTGTCTTCCAAAATAAAATTAAGTTTCTTTTGTATGGAATTTTGTGCATTAACATTCAGATGTGGAGTTTGATGCCACTAAAGAGTCATACAATTGGTAGTGCACAGCTTATATTGTACTGGCATAGCAGAATGATTTTACTGTATGCATTTGGGGAACACAGTCTTCTCTGTTGTTTATCAAGCTATTTAGATGTGTAATCCTAAG